TCCAGCTTCACTGTGCTAATGTTATGCTAACATAGCTGTGTCGCTAGCAATCACGTAGCACAACATTATATACCAGGTAGTCCAACTTCAGTAACCCTGCAAATGCCACTGATGTTTAGTTTTCTGTCTTCATTTATGTCAGAAGTGGTAGCAGAGCTGTATGTTTTAATTAGTTTCAAAAATCTCTCAGTCAGAACATGGTGTGTCATGTTTAGGTGGAAACTAGCAAGCTAACTTCCTGTTAACTTCTAACTCCGTTAAATTTAATAACTTCTGTTTTCATGGATGCCTGGTTGTTAAACTTAATTGTTACACCTAGTAAAGCAACAACGCTGATGATTTTATTAAAGATGAAAGAATTTAGACCATTTTTAACTCTCAATGTTCGTTTGACTTTGGGACCTGAAGGGACGGAGTTTTGGACCCAGATTACTCCGCGAAGCTCCTCACTACGGCAGCCGTAATGCTCTGACAATCCATCAAAACATTTTTGAACAGATTTCTGCACGCCCAAATCGGTTCCAGGTCAGTAAGCACAACCAGAATTCATACATAAGGCACACTCGATTTTTGAGAAAATTAAAGGATTTTAAGTGTGCCTTATAGTGTGGAAAATACGTTATACAGAAGAAAATAATATATCGGGATATATATATCGTTACCACACGTGCTTCAAATTATATCACGATATGGATTTCATGCCATATCTCCCAGCCCTAGTATGAAGTCAGTAAACCAAACCCTCAGAGCCCCAGAGTTTCTCTTTTGATGCTGTAACCCAACAGGACTTTTCCAGCTTCAACACACTCTGTCACACACAGTGCTAAAAACACAGTTATTACAAGAAAGCATGTGGAAAAACAGCTGATCGTAGCCATGGCATATTGTTAAAATAAACACACTTTATCAGCTATTATCATGGTTTCTACCATTCTGAGCACGGACCCATGAGGCAGCCTTCACAGCCAGAAGCTCTTGAAGCCATGAAGCCGGATCAGAGCCAGAATAGTGGCCCACACATCACCGGTAGCGTAAATCAACAAATTAAAGGAAATCAAATTAAACAGAAAAAACACAAAAACATCAGAAAGCTGCATACACTTATCACAGACATGAACGTCATGATAATTTGCGACCTTTTATGATTTGTTTGCACATTTCTTTTTCGAGGATCGAATGATTGTACAGCAGACATCAAGAATTTCATGGATAAGCTTTAATTTATCTTGGATTTTGTCCAATCTAATAACAATAATTGTTATGAGGGCTTCTATATCAACTCCAGAACACGGTAACTTATTTACTAAGATGCGTGTGAAAATGTCCTGATTAGACCTCAAAAGGTCCTCGTGGTCAAAGGGTTATATTAACTGTAGCAGAACTGAATTTGAATTTAAGTGTCACGGCTAATGGAAAGCATGGACTCAAGCGCAGAACTCTGGATACAAAGCAGACAGTGCGTTTATTTGCAGTGCTCAAATACAGTCTTAAACAAAGAAGGGCAATTGTCCAAAGGTGATTTTCTCCCAATTCCCGAAGGTGGTGCACATGAGTTAGTGATGTGCGATACCACTGATTTCCTTTCCGATCCGATACCAAGTAATATTCAGGGTGGTATCGATGATACTGATACGGTCTTTCACTACTCGGGTTAAACATGATATATAAGTCACTTTGATAACTTCAAAATGTTATTGTTTGGCTTTTTCAGTGTTTTATTTGTTCGTGACTAAATCGGTTTGGCTGAGATTAAAGTTATTAGATTAGATTAAATTAAATTTAACTTCATTAATCCCTCGGGAGGGTTCCTCCAGGGTTTTCACACAGCTGAATAAACATCAAACAATAATTAAACAGAAGAGTTTACGTCAGTGCCCGGTTATATATTAGATAGCCAGGAGCAGACGGCAGAGTTTCACTCCACCGAGGGAGCTTGTGACGTACTACCCTACTACTTTCTTTAGACCGCCAAGGTCGGGTCCTCAGGTGGAAGCAGCCTCTGAATTTGGACACCCCCACTGTTTCCGGGCCGGCCAATAATAATGGTGACATTTAACGTATTTTATCCGATCAATAAACCCTGTAAAATGTATTTATCACCCCCCAACAGCCCTTTTGAATGCCTCCCTAGTATGGCCACAACACCTCACTCTTGGTGCACTTTTTTTGCCACATGTATCGCAAACCACATCTCAGCTGTTTGTGGAGGTAAAATACGTCCGCACAATTACGCTCAGCCATTGTTGTGAGTGCGCACGCCAAGGGGCTGCGAGACATTTATACAGCCATATTTTGCACATGACTATGAAAGGCGGAAGAGGAAGTAGTTCCTCTGAATGTAGACAATCCGAATGTTATAGTTTCTTTCCACTGTGTTCCTGTTAATGATAAACTACAAATTTACTCTAAATTACTAAAATATCAATATTTTAATGTGAGAATCGATTATAGAACATAAATTACTGGTATCGGAGGAATCGATATTTCAGGATCGATCCGCACATCACTACCAGTGGTGTGCGATACTGCATATTTTGGTATCAATCCGATACCAAGTAAATGCGGGCCAGTATTGCCGATACCGATACTTTTCAATAAATAAGGTGGATACGTCATATAATTGCTAAGTCTCAATTAATTTTTATAACCTTAAGTGTTTTTTGTGATGGTTCATTTTTTATTATTAAATAGTTAAAACCCAGGACATAATTAGGATAAAGTTTATAATTAAATAGAAAATGCTTTCTTATTGTGGCTGCTCTGCGATGCCACTGCAGGTGAGATGGACTCACCTGTACCGCGTCTATAATCACGCCTGGCTGGCTTAAAACCTGTGGTCTGCTTGTATTGTTGTTAGTGATGTGTACAGCTGGCGAGCTGCAGCCGTTGTACTAATGTACTGTTAGAGAAATCGTGTGATTATTGTAACGGTGGACAGCGCACGGGAAGGACCGGTTCGGGGTGAGCTGGAGGCTGGCGCGCCAGCGGGACCTGCCAAGCTGGAGACGGAGGTGCGGGGGGGGGTCCTGCCACATCCGAGGGCAGCGTGCTGTCCGGTCCAGCCTCTCTTCCAACAGAGGCCGGCACGCTGCGTGGTACTGCGTGCCGACCACCTGCTCAGCTGCCTGTGAGCCCCGGCTCACTTCCATGCCTGCTGCCCCGCTGCTGTTTGCCACATGGGTGGCTACCTGGGGCGCCGATGGTCCGGGCCGATTCCCTCGCCTGCTCGCGGAGGGGGCGAGTAGGTTAGGCTCTGTCTCAGGGGCAAAGGGGGTATATGGCGGGGTACGTTCTGAGATGGACTCACTTGCACGGCATCTACAATCATGCCTCGCCGGCTTAAAACCTGTGCTGTGTTCTGTGTTGTTGTTGATTGTATTGTATGTGTACAGCTGGTAGCAGGAGAGCTGGAGCAGAATGTACTGTTACAGCAGCCATGTGATTATTGTAAGAATAAATCATGCTGTGAAGCATGAAAATGCCATCAGGTCTGCCGTGGCGGTTTACTCATTTTATTTTTATTTTTTTAATAAAAAATTTACAATAAATTGTGCAAACCAGTAAACAAATCAAAACAAGTACTGCTGGGAAACTATAATACAAAATTTACAATTAAAATTCTCAACAACAATAACAGCTGATAAAAATATAAATAATATGTAAACAACTTAACAACCCCCAACTTGTCTAAGTCACGTCAAGTGACAGCGCAACATGTCAACACAAGAGGGGGAAGAGGGAGCAAAGTCCGTCTGCTCTGCGCTGACACAGGAGCAGCAAGTCCAGCGACCTTTGCCAAAAGCACAGCATTACAAACAAGAGCGGAACTTAAAAGTAAAGAATCTATCTCACCAGCCTAGTATTGATTCGATACCGATGCCAACTTGGTATCGATATAACCGATATTTGGATCGATCTGCCCACCACTAATCACTACTCTTCAGTGAAAATCCGTGTGTGCTCCTTCCGTGTGTGTTTCTCCTCCCGAGTGATAAAACCAGCGAGCCCTTTTCTCCGCTCTGTACTTCTCCACCTGATGGACGAGCAACAACAACATCTGATGAGAAGGCTAGCCTGACTATGCTAAGTCACAGAATTGCGAGCACACTAAACTACCAAGCTTCAAGTACAATCCAGCGTCGACTGCCGTCTGGTAAATACCTCAGCCCAAGCGAGGAAAGATTAGCAGCAGCTGGGTGGTGTGTTGGCAGCCGAGCGGAGACGCTTCCCGGTCAGGGGTCGGCCATTCTCTCCCGGAGGCGTGGCCAGACCTGGAGTAGGCACCAAGAGCTTCTCGGAGTAGGGGGGGAGGAGAGGGAGACACACACACACAAGCAGGACCGTCCGACCATGACATTAAGCTCCACGCATTCCTTGAATTCCAACTGTATATTGTCTAATCTAAAGACACCATAAACAGTGTACTGTCAGTGTATAGAGATGAAAAACAGTTAGGACAACTTATGAAATATCTGCTTACATCTTGTTGAATTCAGTTGTGTGCATCCACAAAGAGCAACAGATCAGCTGATTACAGCCTGTAATTTTGATGATCACTGGGTTTTTATTTGTTTGGTTGTTATGGGAGTCACGTGGGTGCTAGCGGTGACATAAATGGGCGTTGTCAGTCTGTCATTCACTGGTTTTGATTTTGACAGAGAGGAGGGCTGGGTAGCCGTAGTTTTTGTTGACCGCTGCACAACATGTTTCGCCTTGTTACATTAGAGCCTGTGACGTTGTAAGAGTCTGAATCAGGAGCCGATGACATTACTCTGTAAACTCTCAAAGCACTTT